GGCCGGCCATTTCATGGAGGCAACGATGATGTCGATGATGATGACAGTGGTGGTCCGAAGGGGGAACCTGCTTCAGATCCTGGCGAAATTGATGATGGACATGGAATTGGAGAAGTTCCACTAGACGATTACTACAGAGCAGTTGATGCGATGGGTGAGAAGATACTTGAACGAGATGAAGCGGAAGCAGGAGCACTTCGTGCACCGCCTCCATCTTCCACTACGAGACGAACTGGCGAGACAGCTGACCATGATGATGTTGGACCGTCGGGAAGGCTCATACCAAAGGGTGGAGAAGAAGATCCAGGAGAAATCCTACGTCGCCTGAAGGATGAAAAGCTGGTCGCTGATGACATTGAACATTGGGGTGCCGGTGCCAAAGATGATGGAAAGATCTATCTCAGCGATGATGGAGAAGCTTGCAAGATCGACAAACGTGGCGTTCTGTACAAGATTGGCAGCAACGGCAGACGCATCGGTCCTACCCGACGGCCAAAGGCCATTCTCGCACGTGTGTGATAAGCTTTTATGTCCTTGCTTGAAAGTTTTACGTGGTGCACGTAAAACGTGAACAAATGTCTTTTCTCAACTTTTCGTTGACATGTGAAACGTTTTCATGTCCGTTTGTTTTAACAATAGTTTCATGTCCAACATGTTTTGCGAACAGTTGTGGAGCTGCCATGCTGTTCTTTGCAGAACTTGCATGGTTTGCATGTTGGGGCATGTATTGTTTCAAGCAAAGAGCACGGTGGTCTTTTTGAGCCTGGGGGCCTCCTGCGTGAGTGCAGCTTTGTGCTGCCACTCCGTAGGCAAATTGCAGACTAACAGGTTCTGGGTGCTAAGCTGGCGCTCGGCCTTAGTGTTGCATGGACTCCGGCTCCGATAGCTACTCCTACAGCAGCTCCGTTTCTTCAGTGATTGACCTCTTCCCACAGGAGACACCCGAGGTTCCGCCTCCGGTGCTGCGCATCTTTCCACGGCATTTTCGCGAGCCCCGTTTGCTGTATCTTCTTTGGGTCAGCGAGCGTTGGCAGAGAGCTGTGTTATTGCGCGAAGAGGTTACTATCTGGGAGGCTGCTTGGGGGAGCATCGCGATCAATCACCGTCTTGTGCTGCTGACTGATCAGCGACTTTGGCTGGCTTTTGCGCTCGGCAATCGCGAGCTTTACAGGTGCGTTGCCACGGCACTGCGTCTGGGGCCCTAGGCTTTTGCTTTTCGGTCTTTGGAGATATGAAGAGGGTTGGGCCAGGAAAGACCGATTTGGGTCAGGAGCCTCTGTCTTTGCGAGCGGATGCTTGGGCCGTGCTCGAGTGAAGAGACCTTGTTTAGCCTGGGAGAACGGCCCTTTGAAGAGCATCTTGAGTGATGCCAGTGGCTCTGTCATTCCAGCTCCGACTTGGCCGGTTCTGCCCACTCCGACAGCTGTGGACTCAGTCAGATGTTACGCAGCCCCTTCGGGAGGTTGGCTAAAGTCGCCTTTGCACAGTTCTTCGTGGGTAGATGTTTTGGATCACAAGCGGTCGGCAGCCCTGGAAAGGTGGAAGGTCCTCGTTTTGTCTTGAGGGGAGGCTACATGTTTGGGAAGAGCGATCCTTGCAGCTCAACGGACCGAGGACCCTGCGGCAGTGGATGCTTCAATTTCGGATGCTTTCCATCGCAAGGCTACTTCGACCTTGACAACTAGGGCGGCCTCCTTGCTCATGTTCTGCACGTGGCGAGCAGCCGAAGGTGGGGCCGCGACTGCCGGAGTGTTCTGTCTGGAGGAACAGACCGTCTATGACTATGTGGTTCACCTTAGGAGGACCAAAGCTCCCAGGAGTCGGGCACCTCGTTTCCTTGAAGCTCTTGGTTTTTCGAAAGGGGTGCTGGGCGCAGAAGTGCAAAACATCCTGGATTCCTCCCAAGTTCGCGGCGCGGCTGAGGGCGCCGCAGAAGTTGTGGTGAAGAGTGCGCCTCCCCTCACTGGAGCTCAGGTGAAGTTCTTGGAGTGGTTCGCGGCAACAAAAGGAGGGCAGGAGGGTGTGTTTGTTGATCACGTGTGCTTCTGCATTCACGCCCGATTGCGATGGGGCGACTCACAGCACTGTGCCTTTGAACCTCTTCCTGATGTCTTTGACGGGAGGGGCTATGTCGAGGCTTCCCTTTACAACCACAAGACAGCGCAGCGAACCACTGTCATGAGGAACCGACTTCTGGGGATTAGTCCGGGAATCTCGGGGCAAGATTGGGCATCGAGGTGGCTCGAAAACAGGGCCCTTCGTGGTTTGGTGGCTTGCGCGGAGAGCCGACGATGCCGGCTCCGAAATCTGGAGGAGGATGGGCCAGGCTTCCTTTATCTTCGGACGAGGCGGCTACTTAGCTGGGAGAAATTCTCCGGGCTCATGATATAGCTCCTCTACATCCCGGTGGAGGGACGAGATCCTTCAAACCTACGATCCTCTCCTGGATGTCCAAAGCAGGCGCGCCGCAAGGTCTGCAGCGGCTTGCCGGTTATCATGTGGAGCCAGGCACGAAGAACCCTCTATAATACGGAAGGGACGCAATGGCCCCTGTCCTTGAGTACATGGAAGGGCTGGGATGAACCTGTTCAGCAGTGCGAAGAGGCTGCTGGCCCGGACACCGAAGCGGAATGGGCGGAGGACTGGAATGCCGAGGAGCTCTCGGATCCAGAGGAGTTCTCACCTGAGTTGGCAGATTCAGGGGTCTTCTGATGTCGAGCTGAGGTCTGCTTGCGAGTCTTCCTCGGCCTCCCTACAGGATGAGGAAGAGTCGGAGGACGCCGTGCGGATGGCCGAGATCGCGGGCGAACAGGTGGCCGAGGCTATTCAAGGAGAGGCCGATGCTAGGGTAGGATCTTTCTTTGGGCAAGGCGTCTCAAGGCAGCAGCGGACGCGTGATCAGCGCTCCCTAGGACCGCTGTAATCACATCCCGCACGAAGACGCTATCGTCCCCTTGCCCCGGAATCACAGCCGTAGAAAAGGCAAAGTTAGCATGAGTGCCCCATCCCTTCTCCCGCAAAGCCGCGATGGCCGTTTCGGACAAGCCAACCTTGGCACATCTCGCCGAGAAAACTGCTTCACTATCTACCACCGACATTCGAGCAATCAGTCTACTGCAGGAGATCGAAACATGTGAAATGTCACCTCAGCACGCATGCACACATGTGGGCAACATTCAGACACTCCATGCAACCCTCATCTTTAGACGCACCAGTCTCAACGCTCGGACCAGCACTTCGCACATTTGCGAGGTTCGTAGAGGGAGCACTCTTTTAGTCTCCTTATAATTGGCATTTGCTTGCCTTCCACAAAAGAAAACGGTGGCCTCTCCCTCGGAGTCAGGGTTCAAAACTCGCACCTTATGCAAAGCACCACTGACGACACTTTGAAAGTTATACCCTCACTGCCGCTGAATTGAAGAGACAGACGGAAACCACCCACAGAGAGCGACGTTCCCCGGAAACTTCCGCCTGCTGAGATCTCGAGCAGAATTGATGCATTGCAGGCCAAGATTTTGCCGTTGAGGATTGAGGACAGTCTTGAGCCGTCCCACGCGGTTGTGAACTTGGTTTGCCAATGTGTGCAAGATCAAAGAGTGCGCTACCTGGATCTGTGCAGAGTGACGACGAGGAATAAGGAAGTCAATTCCTTGAAAGAAGTGCCCTCGCTTCGCATGCTTCAGCCGGATCGCAGTGGGGTGCTGAAAGCAGTAGCTTCACAGGATTCTCTGAGGACCAACGGAGCTGGAGGTGTTCCAGGCTCTGAGGCGCCGAGGCGTTGCCTATGAGCTCGGGGGGTACATCCCACGGTCATGTACTCTATTACTGCATCGGGTATCCCTTCCAAGGGCTTCGAGATGTTACGCGTCGCGTTGACCAAACAAGCCAGAGCCATTGCACGCAGTCCCAGGCACAGATTGGGTGGTGAATTAGGAGACGAAGTCATCGCGAAATCAGACGCGGCATTTTGGCGCAAGGTCGGGATTGCGACACCGGAAAAGCTGGTGCAGCAGAGACTGGAGGACGCGGTGGCGCGCACCTCACAACTTCGCGGCCTTCTTGCTTCAGAGGATGTGAGGGTGTGCACGGTTGTTCGAAAGCGTGAGAAGGCCATGTTGCAACAGTTTCAGAACAGATGCATCAAACCAGCCAGTGCCACTGCTACTCATGTTTGCCATATTTGCCGTGGAGTTCGGTGACTACAGCTCTTTACGAGCACACAAGGCCAAGATTCACAGCACAGAGCGTCGTCAGGAACCCGCGCCCACATTTGACAGGCAAAAGCATGCTGTGGATGGAATGCAAAGATGCTCCATGTGCGGACACAAGTTCTTAAGGTGGGCTGATTTGCAGAAACATGTAGCTGGGAACTTTTGCCAACAGAGTAAGAAATCTACTCAAGTCACAAAAGAAGAGAACCAAGCCTCAATGTTACAAAAAACGCGCGACGAACAACTCCAGGTGTCGAACTTCTCCAGCATTGTGCGATTTGTCGTCAATGGCAGCCCGACTCCAAGTACATCAAGATTCACTAGGGCCGAGTTCAGAAGGAGTGGCAGGCACATGAGGCCAGCGCGTTCCAGTGGAGAAGAACACAATTTGCACGTAGTACAGGTACGTGCGGATGGTGCGACAAGAAAGCAACTAAAGGCAGCATCCACACAGATTCTTGTCCAGTTCTTTTTCAATTATCAGTGATCAGAGCCATTGTGCATGGTACGACAGGCGATGCTGCGGACGTTGTGAGCGAAACAGCTGCTCCGACCATAGTTCCTGTGCCCGATGTGGTGGCAAACAAACACTGGAACAGGCATTGTCAGTTGTGTGTCGTGAATCCTTTACTTCCCGGGGCATGCGCGAGCACATGGAGCAAGTTCATGCCAGCGCGTGGTTGGTGTCCAAACCGGTGGTCGATTCCTTGTGCGCTCAGTGGGCTGCAGGACTCAAGAAACCGTGTCAATTTTGTGGCAATGCATACAACAAGGCTACACAACATGTTCATGTGTGCCACGTTCTTTTCCAGGCTGCTTTTAAACGTTCGTTGCAAACGACAGGGGCTGACATTGACCATGGCGGGCCAAGCATTGGAGCCGGAGGCAGAGTTCATGGAGTTCTTCGGGGCAACGATGCCGGCGCTTCGGGACACGGTGGCCAAGAGAGCAGCGGACTTGAGCAGTCAGACAGGGCCCAACAAGCGCCCCCATCTGGAAGCTCCGAAACAGGGCAAAGGAAAAGGATGGGGAAAGGGCAGTCGGAACAACGGTGGATGGGGAAACAGGATTCAGCACTCGACTCCAACCCAGGCTCCATTCACTCTTTCTTCCGACGACCTTCAGCACATGATGCACATCATGGCGAGGCTACTGGTGCAACAGGACAACGAGATCCAGATGATCAAGATGGACAAGCAGTTTCTCCTTCACTTCGAGACGCGCCCTCAGGGTATGGTTCACATGTTCTGGGAGTCGGCACAGGTCTGGAAACAGGCCAAAGCCGAGCAGCCACCCAAGGTGGACAAATCGCTCATGGTAACGTTACTGCTGTGCATGATGATGGAGTTGGAAGCTCGCTTGGACAAGATGCTGGTTCACGAACAGACCAAGAACAACTTGATCAAGCATGGATGGCTGCAGACTGTCGTGGCCCTACATGGTTTGGACGGGGGAAAAGCTCGAGCTGGACAACAACAAAGCGGCAATCCCACACGACGACATGATGGAGATCATTCGCGAGATCAAGAAGAACCTCTTGGACAAGACCGAAGAGTTGGTGCACAAGTTCCACAGCGTTCTCGGGTTGGCGGAGCAGATGGAGGGAGACACTCTCCCGTTTCTGCTTTCCATCAGCACGCGCGGGGCGCTGGCGGATCGGACCTTCGAGCTCTTCCGCATGCTCGAAGGCAACACGGTGCTACGGATCGTGGGGGCTCGGCTTCGCGGAGAACGTCTTCGGAGGCAGCCACTGGTCAATCAGCTGGTGGACGCAATGGCCCAGCTACAGCTGAGCAAGTGAAGCAAGCGCAAAGGCAGGTGCTCAACATACGATTGCAAAACCAACACAATGTTTGTTACTGTTACATCAATCCCTTGGCGTTGCTTTGGGCTTGGGCTTCCACTTCCCACACTGATTTTTCACAAGTTGCAGGCGCAGCGACTTCAGCATTGCGGGCCTTGCTCACGGGCAAAGGATTGCTCGACCTTTTGGGGCTATTGCCTTGGCGACGCTTCTTTCAAGGGTGGCACAATATCAGATTACAACATGATTTGCACGAGTGGCATACACATGTATTTGATCAGGTGCAGCCACAGTTTTTGCGTGGATCATGGCATGCGAAGCTTCTTAGCCTAGAGCTCAGAGACAGTTCAGAAATGTTCGCACCAATCTTGATGACGCCGCCCTCTCATCTACAGGAGTGCACTTTACAAACAGTGGTGGATCAGTGGAGTGCTCAAGAGGCTATGCATGCATTGAACGAACCACCGCAGTTTTTGTGCATTTGTCTCACCAGGTTTGGCTACAGCGATGGCGTTTCATTCCAGCTTGCGATGCCAGTGAGTTTGCAAACTACTACCATCACGATTCCTTGCTTTGTTGATGTGCACAGTTTGGAAACCTACAACTGCTCTTACACTATGATAGGATCTATTTCCCACTATGGGCAAACAGTTACATCTGGACATTACAGAGCAATGTTGCACGATACAGTGGAATCATGTTGGTACATCACCGATGATGGCTCTCGTGCCAAACGGGCCAAAGCGAGTGATTTACATCACCTTTACAAGAATGCTTACATGATATGGCTGAGAGCAGACGCGTGACACAGTTTACAGCTCACTGGCAAGCACGGGTGCACAGTCCTCGCTGGACGCAGGAGGCTGTGCTTGCTGTCGGGGGTGGTTCGCCACTCTACGGGCACTCGGGCTCTCTGCCGTATGTCTTGCCAGACGTGGCTCGCACACAGAGTGCCGGAGCTGTTAGGGTAGTAGTGTAGGGCTCTGGGCTGACTGTAACAAGTTTTCTTGCACTTGATTTCGGACAGAAGTCGTGAAATTTATGTGCTTGCTAGGTGCTTCGGCACGGAGCGCATTAGGCCCTTGCTTTGTGCTACGGCACGGAGCGCTTAGGTTGCAGCCACAGAGCTGCCGTGTGTGGGACACACGCAGGCCTACGCCAGGCGACCTTCGGACGCTGCGCAGTCAAAACATGCTGATTCAATCTTGCTCTACTAGTGAGAGAATTGTGCTACAAGCTTTGGACCACTTGTTGTGGTCTTTGACAGTGCTGTGCCACTTTTACCGCACCAGAGGCGCTGTGGACTTTGTCTTGTCTTCTGGAGAAAGACTGACAGGTTCTGTCCATCCCGATTGGTTCAAGGCCGGGGCTTCTCTTCAAGTGGCCACTCCTGACTTGAAATCCGCGTATAAGCAACTGCCTTTAAGCCCTAAGGATTTTGATAAGACGGTGGTGACGCTAAAAGACCCGACATCGCATGAGGTGCGATGCCTTATTATGCGCACCCTGCCCTTCGGGGCGCTGGGATCAGTTTATCATTTCCTTAGAATAAGCTTGCTGCTACATGCCATCGGTTGCTCATTAGGCGTGTGCTGGTCGGCTTATTTCGACGATTACCCAATGGCATCGCATTCGCTCGTGGCCTCGTCCACAGCGGCTCTTGTGAAGGGTTTTCTTAAGCTGACCGGTTTTGCTTTCGCCGAAGAGAAGTGTACGCCTTTTGCATCGGAAGTGGAGGTCCTCGGAGTTACCTTGGATGCTTCGGAGTCTCACACTGGCATTATCGCCGTCAAGAACAAACGTTCGAGGTGCGAGGAACTTGAAGCTCTTCTCGATGAAGCGATAAAGGACGAGGCCGTGGTCCCGTGTCGCCTGCCTAGCTTCATAGGGAAGCTTCAGTTCGCAGATGGCCAGATCTGGGGACGTGCCGGGCGAATGGCTCTTCGCGACCTCAGAACGTACGGCATTGCTTCTCGGACTCCGGTAACCTTGGACTCCAGCGGTCTGGAAGCTCTACGGCTCTTGAGGCAAAGGCTGTTGCGAGGCAAGCCCAGGATCATCAAGGCGGGCTGGCGTGCCAAACCCGTCGTAATCATAATCTTCACTGATGGTGCCCTGGAAGATGACAATCTTAGCCATGGCCCTGCCACAGTCGGTGCCGTTATGTTCTTGCCTGACTCCGAGGTTGCGCACGTCTTCGGGTGCGAAGTGCTGCACGAGGTTCTTTCACACTGGAGGTCAGATGGCAAAGCAACATGTCATCGGCCTCGTTGAATTGTACGGCGCGGTCCTTGCGTTACGTCATTGGTGGAAGCACCTGGAGGGCAATCGAGTGCTGCTCTTCATTGATAATTGGCCCGCGCTGGATGCTCTTGTGAAAGGCGACGCCTCAGTGCCAACCTGGCGTGAGATTCTAATGGTCCTCGAAAATCCTCTTGAGGTTGAGCCTTGCTACCTGTGGATCGCAAGAGTTGCTTCCGCATCCAACATTGCGGACTCTCCGAGCAGAGGCTCCTTAAAGGAACTTGCGCCGTGGAAGCTGACACTCGAGCATCCGAAGTGCCCTTTGTCGAAAATCTCTCTGAAGTCGATCGTGCATGCATGCTGAAGCAGACTGGGGATTATTATGATGAAAAGATGTGGACGGTTAAACCGGGCACATCACCTGTGTGGAGCAGTGGCTCCACCTTTCGGACCGAGGGGTCTGAATCAACCTTCGTCAACCCCAGTGTGCCACTGAGTGAAAACATCGACTGAGAGAGCGCAGCTTCGTGAATTCTTATATGTTTCTGTATATTCCTGTCGCCCACATATCGTTTGGGCAATACTGATTGCGAAATCGTTTTTTCAGTCATGTCCAATATGCTGCTTTGCCCAAATATGTTTCGGGCTACTTTTGTGAAGTTTGCAAATCTTGCGATTTGCAACAATACTTTTGAAACTCCGGTGAACTTCATAAGAACGTTGTCGCGCGCGCACGCGATACCACCTTATGAAACACCGGACAGCCTTCCATGGGAAGGCGGTTTCAAAAAAAAGAAGCAAGCATGTTCATGAGACCTTCTGCCTTTGCGGCTATGCTTTCATGTTCGCTTCTCTCTTAAACATGTTCTTATCAAATTTTATACATGTCATGTTTTGGGTGAGATTGAATCATGTGTTGCTTTGCTGTGCAAAGTTTCTCCTCAAGGTGTTTGCGGAGAAAAAGTTTGTCCCACCCTCCCAACCCGGGGATTATTATGATGAAAAAATGCGGACGGTTAAACCGGGCACATCACCTGTGTGGAGCAGTGCCTCCACCTTGCGGACCGAGGGGTCCGAATCAACCTTCGTCAACCCCAGTGTGCCACTGAGCGAAAACACCGACTGAGAGAGCGCAGCTTCGTGAATTTTTATATGTTTCTGTATATTCCTGTCGCCCACATATCATTTGGGCAATACTGATTGCGAGAATGTTTTTTCAGTCATGTCCAATATGCTGCTTTGCCCAAATATGTTTCGGGCTACTTTTGTGAAGTTTGCAAATCTTGCGATTTGCAACAATACTTTTGAAACTCCGGTGAACTTCATAATATCAGATCCCTGTCAGCTTCGTGACCTGGAGAGCCTCATTGGCCTGCTCCACTGGGTCCTACAAATGGCGCCTGAACTGCGTCCCTGGCTATGCTTCTTGTGCATGGTCAAAGAGCGTCCCGTCGCCACCAATTTTAGCCTCCCTTTGCCAGTTTGGCAGCAGCTGCGATCGTATGTTGACACCGATCTGCGCTTTAAAGCCACACCCCCAGGAACGAGTATTCGGCCCGGCAGTCGCCTGTTGATGGTCCGCCACGTGGCTATTTCCTCTCTTCAGGACCTAGAGAAAGTGCCGGTTTCCGGTAAACGGATTTGGGCACGCATTGCCGATCCACATACTCCCAAGCGCACTCTTTGTGCCACCAGCAAGTTTTTCTTGCAGTTTTGGCAAACGTGGTGCATAACTCCCCAACTCTTTCGTCCATTGCACTTGCCCCGTTGGTCACCTGAGGTGTCTTTGGCAGCAGATGCATGCGCGCGCGGGGATAAGATAGGGATTGGCGGTTGGGTTCGCTTTGCTCAGCAGCCGCCGTTGTGGTTTGCGGAATCCTTTCGTGTTGCCGATTTCACAGCTTTAGGCATTCCAGTTAACCCTTCGGCGAACCTCGATATTGTTTCATATGAAACTTTAGCACAAGTTGCCTTAGTCGGCACCTTCGCGTCCGCCTGTGTAGGCGGCAAGATGAGGGTCTCCATTCCCTCATGGTCTGACAATTCCGTCACGGAATCCGTCTGCAGTAAGCTTTTCACCGCCGCCATGCCTCTTGCGTTGTTCGTGCAACGTCTTGCAACTTTTGCATGGAAGACATCCGTCAGTTTAGACACTTCCCATATCCCGGGTGTTCGCAACACTGAGGCAGATTTTACTACCTCCAGCATTCCAGCCAGATATGCGTATCCGCTGCCCACTGGCTGTGCTCTGGCATGGCGAGCGCGACGTTCGTCTATGGCCTCCAGATGCCCGCCTGGCATGGTCGCCCCCTATCTCGAGTTTGGCATCGGCATCTTGAGATGCCACGAGCAGCCTTTCCTACGATGTCGGCGATGTGCAGCTCCTGACTCCCATGGAACGTTCACGGTGTGCGGTACTTTCCCCCGTGGATAGAGGCCTGGGTTTTTCCGTCAGGAACGCATGAACATCAGCATGCTGTAGTACACGGGCTGAACTGCCATCGGCGCACGGTTGCTTGTCTTCCCCCGATGGAGGTGGTCAGTCCACCATGAGTGCTACACATGTTGCATAAACGCTGCACCTTGGCTGTATACTGCTCTTGAGTTCAGTTTGGGCATTCACAGAAAGTTTCCACCCCGCTTCTAGGTGAGCCTGCCTCACGTTCTAGCTTTGGGAGATCGCGTTGCTAGCGAGTCAGACTCTCCTTTCAGCAGTTTCTAGAGTTGGTTGCGTGGTCACACACTGCATCCTT